AAATTCCACCAAATTACCACCTAAATATTTATGAAGAAAAAAGTTTGAAAAGTTAATAAAAAAATTATATTTCTTCCAAATGCACAGTGCCAAATCTCTCCCCTGGTCTTTCCGAATTATCGCTACTCTGGGGCTCGCGCTCTGCCTTATCTATACCCACGCCCTCCGAAAATTACCGACACTCTTGCCCTCGTGACCTGTTTGATTCACAGGTACACCCGCAAAATTAGTTCGACTAGGGCGACCAGACAATTTCGGGGTTAAAGCCTCGCCATTGGCGTTAGCAATCTCCCCTATAATCTCTGCTATTACAATGTTATACAATGGTGCTACTCACAATTCCTCCCTGATGACCGAAAACACCATACTGGGTGTGAGTACTAGTGTCTGCGCATGCGCCGATGTAAACACTATAGACCTTTTTTTAAATTAATTAAAATCTAATTCATAATTACGTGTAAAAGAATGAAACCAAGGTATTTATTATCTACAAACGATTTGCTTCCCATTGGTTAATATTATTTCGGTCTACAAATAAAAATTAGTGGGGTGGGGTCCTAACTTCCGATCATTATTTTGTTTAATTAATTAAAAAATAATGAAGGGTCTACAAAATTTTTTAATTGTATTACAATGATGTACAAAGGTCCTACTATTGATCTAAATAAAAAAACTAATGAATTTTCAATAATGTGGTGCCAACTACCAGTCACCAAAAATCCCTCCACCCGAGCCTGAATAAGGATTGGTGACGTTACGCGCTCAAGTATGCAGATCGTGTAGATATATACGCACGCGATCGCTTACGTAAAATCCACGTGTAAGGTAATCAGTTTGTATTCTGGTGTATTTAAGAATAAGCTGTGCATATTTTTTTATAAAATCATACTACTCACACTTTGTTGTATAGTGTTTATGGATCTGGAGAAACGCGTTAGAATCAAATAGATTCTTGATAGGATAAGTTTTTAACCAAAGAGAGTCTGAACATGGAGCTGGCCGGAAAGATGAATACAATAAGGCAGACAGAGTTGATTGGCTTTACTGATCTGAAACATATTGAAAATGACGACGAAAATGAAACTCCACCCAAATTAAAGACATCGAAGAAATCGGGAGGATTCCAGGGAATGGGTTTGAGTTTTCCTTTATTAAAAGGAATTTTGAAAAGAGGCTACAAAATTCCTACTCCCATCCAACGAAAGGTAAATAAATAAGGAGAAAAAGTTTCGAATAGTTTCGTTTTATGCTCTTCAAGTCTCGATACCAAGCTAATACATTCGCATAATAATTCTCGATAATTGTTATGTGAAGCCATCACATTTTTATTTATTTCAACTGGAATCTATTTTTCATTACAGACAATTCCAGTAGCACTAACGGGTCGCGATGTAGTGGCTATGGCTCGTACAGGCAGTGGTAAAACTGCTTGTTTTCTCATACCCCTGTTTGAAAAGCTCAAAACGAGAAACGCCAAGGCTGGTGCTCGAGCAATCATCCTCTCTCCCACTCGAGAACTCGCTCTGCAGACCTTGAAATTCATCAAAGATGTTGGCAAGTTTACGGGTCTAAAAGCCGCCGTAATTCTAGGAGGGGACAGCATGGACAACCAATTCAGTGTTCTTTATGGCAATCCAGATATAATAGTTGCCACTCCTGGTCGTTTTCTTCACATCTGTGTCGAAATGGACTTATCTTTGAAAAATATCGAGTTGATAGTTTTCGATGAAGCTGATCGACTTTTTGAGATGGGCTGGGGAGAGCAGATCCATGAGATCACCAATCGTTTGCCAGAGAATAGACAAACGCTGCTGTTCTCTGCGACATTACCTAAAGTTTTGGTGGAGTTTTCAAAAGCTGGACTTAGTGATCCGATCCTTATCCGTTTAGATGTCGAGAATAAACTGCCTAATGAGTTAACTTTGGCTTTTATAACCTGTAGGGAAGAAGAGAAATTGGCGGTACTGTTATGCCTTTTGAAGTATGTAATAGCCAATGACTCTCCAACAGTTGTATTTGCAGGTATGATAGATAATAACAGTAGTTATATACGGCGGAATTACATTCAAAGCATACCGAAAATTTTATATCTCACAGAAATATTCCAAAGTAGCATAACCTGGAATTTAAGTTTTTAATTTTAATAGGCAACGTATCATAACATCACGTGTCAGTCTTTAGTGAAGGTATTAGCTATTCAACCAAAATGTTCTAAAACAAAGGATGAAACCCAGCTAAAACGAAATAAGTCATGTTTACCGTAAAGAAAAGTTCGTGAGCGACCGAAACTTCCATAGTAGTAACCATAGGAAATCTCGATTCAATCTTTTCTAGTGTGGAAGGATTATATTGGAAGATGAGGATTCTTATTCCATTCCTTTTGAATAATTGTTTCAGCCTAGCCAATCATTGGCTTTCTTTCCACTCGGAAAGCTGCCAACTGCTGTACAAAATTCATGGTCAGTTAATGAATATTTCGGGATGCACCCAACACAGAGATTGGTTCTAGCTTTCTAGTCTTAATTATTATCTTATATGTGATAGATATTCACGAAATATTCAGAGCATGTCAAAAGCTAACCGAAATTTAGCTACAGATGAATTGAATATTATATACTTATTTTCTGTATTTCATCCAAACTAATTCTATATCCTACGACCAGCTTACATTAAGCTTTCGTATACTGCCACCGTTCCATTTTCTCACTAAATTGCACTTGTTAATAAAGAAAAAGCTTGCGTAGTCGCTAATATATGAATAAAATTCCACCAAATATTAACATTTTTCGAAACATCCTCTTATGATAAATCATAGAACTTGTTTGCAAAATAAGTGATAATTTTTCTTTCTTAAGTGCCAATAAAACACTCCAGTCTTTCACACCCGCTTGCCACAAATTAGCATTTTCATTCTAAATTGTGATTGAAATGTTGATTGTTAGAAAGCTGGGTTTAATCCTAATTTTTCAATATTTTTGCATTGAACAACTAAAACGATAATTAAATTGAGAAAAAAATTACTAGTCCGTACATAATTAAGTTTTTTTAGGATTTTTCAACAGTTTTTGATATATTTTAATTTACAGTATGGATGCTTCAAAAGAAATTATCTAAAAAATGAATGCTTTCTCTTTTCAAGTCACTGGTGACATTTTTAATCTCCCTAGAAGAATCTAAATGTTTCCCCTGAAATATGAGTATATGCTCCAAAAGAAACTAGGAAAAATGCTGAATGTTTGGAACGATCGCTTTTAGGTTCCACACTGGATTAATTTCCATGAATAGAGATTTGTACAATCACAATAATCACAGTTATGATCTGACGTGACAAATTACATCGTGTCAGTCGTCTGAAGAGTTGATACGGTTTTTTTCCGTAAAGTATATTTCGAATACTGCTTTCATTAGAATTGTTTTTCAAACAGAAAAATAAATAATCTCTCAAAATTTTTAGATTTTTCAATAGTTTTTGTGACCATACACTCATATTTTTATATAATAGCAAGTCAGCACAGAATATTCTGAAAAATCATCGCAAAGAAAAACATTTTGTAAATAAATGGGGGCAAATCGATGACCTTTGTTGTTTAAAAATATTTAAATAAAAGGGGCGAACATTGTCCAAATACATATTCGAGAAATAATCCCAGCGGACTTCAGCATAACACAATTGACTTCAAGTTGTTCAGCTAATGCGTATTGATCTCAAACTTTTCTAATTAATTTTGGGAAATATCAGAGATGAAATATTAATTGAAGACCCACATGAATTATCTATCGAACCTAATCTTTTGTCTAAGTTCTTTTTACCTTTGTATCTAGCTTTCATTCAATCCAGTGTAAAACAATGGTAAGCTGTGTATTTTTGATTTTTTTATAAACTTTGTAAATCTCTAATAATATTTCCTCTTTTTTTTCATTATCTTCATTATCATTAACCATTCGAGTGGTTCTCGCGACGCGAATTTGATCCCAAATTTTAATATATTTTCGGTGAACAAGATAAAATTTAAATATGAGATTGCGTTCGATAGATAGCCCATGCGTGTATTAAAATAAAATAAAATCCTGAAAAAAGATGAATACTGCAATAATTGAGATCGAAAAAGTCTAGGAAAGTGTAAATTGATGGTGGGATTATATGGTAAATGGTTAACGGATAAAATATTGACAAATGTTCCATCACATGTCCGTTCAACTACTTTGGTCTTGCGGGAATCTAACATTCGCATAACATTAGCATTAGATGAGAACTATTATTTAAGTGTTTCATTGAATACTGATATTGATGATATAAATTTTTGTGACATCGCTTTTACAGCTACAATGCATCATGTCGAATATATCCATACAATCCTGGACCAAGCAGGAATCACAAACACTTTCATTTATTCGAATCTGGATGCGTCAGCCAGGAAGATCAATGCTGCCAAGTTCCAGAGTGGACAAGCGCGAGTCCTCGTAGTAACCGATGTGGCAGCTCGAGGCTTAGATATTCCACATCTAGATAGTGTCATCAATTTTCATTTTCCGGCGAAAAGTAAATTGTTTGTACACAGAGTCGGGCGTTGTGCTCGAGCAGGACGCTCTGGAACTGCTTACAATATTATTTCCAAAGATGAATTCCCATATTTATTGGATCTCCATTTATTTTTGGGGATGGAAATCAATATTTTGTCATCAAGTGGTGAGACCGATGAGACGGAGAAGTAAGTCTAGAATGAAAATAGTTACTTAAAATCATAGAAACGCTGTGATAGATTAAAACCAACATATGAGATATTTGGTGCCGAATGAACTGGGCTCTGACCCCCTTCCAATATTGACGGCGATTTTTTATATGATTGAGTCGATTCAAAAACATTTTCTTGATTTTTTTTTAATTCTTTAAGGTTTCAATATTAGATTATTTTTCTTTCCTAATGTTTTAATTGAGTTTATAACGAAAAAGACACGAAAAATTGAAAGAACTATTTTTCGAAAGATATATTCTCTTAAATTTCTTGCTAAACAAATTACACCATTTTTAAACTTCCAAGCATTGTTTTGAGCCATGGTAGAAGATGCGGAAATGATTGCTTCTATTTTACACTCGACTTTTGAAGTTTTTGAAAACGCATTTTCAAGACAATTATCAATTCGTAACGGAATCCCAGTCGCAAAGTCAGAGTCGCAAAGTGTAATTTCTGTTGATTTTAATTTATCTGAAACTCGTACACTGGAACTCGATCTACATTTCGAAATCCGTTTATCGCGATATTTATGATCCATTTATATTTATAATAAACCGGCGTAGAAGTGGAAAACAAGAGATTTAAATGTTAATATTTAAATTTTGATGCACGTTTTGATAACGCCAGATCATAGCCTGGTTCACTTGGCATGGAATACTTTATACACTAATCATGAAATGATTTCTACGCCTTTCATCTTTTAGATAAATTTTTTTTTTCACTTAAAGCCCGGTTTTAATATCGGATTATCTCGTATAGATAGTTTTTTATCTGAAACTTTGGTACAGTCCTGCATGAAGCAGAGCTACACCACATAAAGCATTTTAGCCTAAATGCATTTAGGCTAAAACAAAAGTAAAAAAAAAAAACAGAAATATAGAGTCCGTTTTTTTTTATTAAAATGGGAGGGTAATTGTACAAAAGCACAAGTTGGAAATATCTGATTTGATGGAGCAGGGGGGGATAAAAAAAATATCTTTCTGTACTGTTGGTGGGGCATTATTTCACAAAGTCGTTCCCTGAAAAATTATTAAAGATTTTTAAGCTTTTTTTAGTTATAATTTCCGTACCTGGTCACTGGCAGATGTCTCCGAATTAGATATAAAAATGGCGATCAGCTGTCAATTTAACGGGTGCGATGAGGGGAGGTACAAGAAGTAGGATGAACGTTGCAGAGTTTAGTTTTGATGTGAAAATTAAATTATTTCGGTATGCGTTCATCCTACTTCTTGTACCTTCCTTCATCACGCCCGCTAAACTGACAGCTGATCGCCATCTCAATTTTTCGCTATCTAATTCGGAGACGTGTGCCAATTATGTGGTACAGAAATTATGATTGAAAAAATCTTAAAAATATTTAATAATTTCTCAGGAAATAATGCCCCATCAACCGCACAGGAAGATATTTTCTTTTATCCCCCCCCCCCCCTCCTCCTGCTCCGTCAAATCAGATATTTCCAACTCGTGCTTTTGTACAATTATCCTCCCGTTTTAATAAAAAAGCACCGACTCTATATTTTTATTTTATTTGTGACTTTTTTTTTAGCCTACATGCATTTATGTGGTGTAGCTCTGTTTCATGCAGAACTGCACCAAAGTTTCAGATAAAAAAACAAAAACAAAAAACTATTTATACGAGATAATCAGATATTCCAACCGAGCCTTCAATCAGCAATTTTGCAAGGGAAACATTCTCAAATATGTTTTTCGGGACATTTAAGATTTTAACATATGTTGTGTGGAATTTGATCCATAGCTAATAGTACAAGCTTTAAATTTTTCTAGTTTCTCGAGGCATGGAGCAATTGGTAAAATGCCACCAGAAATGATCGAACAAGAATTAGCCGAACTTAACTGTTGGCACAACACTATGACAGATCTGGAGAACATGTCTCGCGTTGCCAGAAATGGATATCTACAATACTTAAAATCTCGTTCGCCCTCCTCTGTCGACGCTGTCAAACGATCGAAACAGCTCGACATTGGTGATGCAGGTGTCTTTAAAGAGTACGGCAATCTCTCTCCCAAGGCTGGAGATTTTCTTTCTCAAATGAAGAAGTATCGCCCCTCAGGAACTATCTTCGAAATAGCAGTGAAGCCTTCATCTACAGATTACAAAGTAATGAAGACGAAACGACAATTTCACCAGAACGTAATCAAAACATTTAAAGAACATGAAGATGAACGTAAACAAATCGGTAAAAACTTCATAATTGAAAAATATGCAAGACCTCAAACTGATGACAATTGTTCTTCTGAGATCGCCGGAATTTTCAGCCAGATTATCATTCCCAAGAAGAGGAAACTGAATGATCTATACAGAGAATCTAGGACGAAGAAGAAAAATAAACTACAAGATCCCAACTTTTATATTCCCTACACAGCTTCTGATAAACATACTGAGGACGGTTTAGCTGTTAATAATTTTGCCAATGCCGCTGAGCACGTTCAAATGGAACTCACTGCTGACAATGAAGAATCCCGAAGACTGCAGAAACAGGTTAAGAAGTGGGATAGAAAGAAGAAAAAGATGATTACTGTTAACAGCAATTCTAAAGTCGGTAAAATTAGGACCGAGTCTGGAGTTTGGATTCCAGCTACCTATAAAACAAATCGGTATGACCAATGGAAGGAAAAATCAAAAATCGATGATGAAGTGAATGGAACTGATGAAGAGGAAGGAGAGAATCACAGGCTTAAGACGACGTCAAGTACACACTGGGCAAGGCACAATCAAAAGTTGAAGAATAAAATAGGAGGGAAAGGAGAGCTTAAGACACTGGAGCAAGTCGCCAAGTTGAGAAAAATACAGGAGAAGAAAAAAAATAAGGGAAAGAAGCCGAAGAGGTCTAAGAACAAACGAAGAGGAAAATGAGGGCATAAACCTATAGACTTGGAGGTTTGTGGGGAAACCTTTTGAAATAATAAAATAAAGTTTTGTCTAAGTAAAGTGTTGGTAAATTTATCTGGACCTTGTATGGAACATATTCGGAAAAAATGATAGCCGAGAATAAGGTTAAGTATCCGAAGGAATGAGATTAGGCCGAGTTAAGTTACAAATAGTACATTACATACCTAGGCCAGTAAAAAAAGTCTCAGATCACATGACATTGTTGACTGAAGCGAAGTTGAGACTGACGAACATATGATCTAGGGATTTTTTACTGGCCCCGCTGTGTATACGATTTTCTGCTCTACGAGCCAGAAAAAGCTACATTGAGCTTTTGGGTCGAACGGCAGAAAAATTAACTAAACGCACTTTATCACATTCTCACCTACTAAAAAACAAACAGTGCTGTGGAGGCTATATAACAGGTGAAATATGATAGCTACTCTTTAGAGATATTAATTTTTCTTCTACTTTGAGTTCTATTCATTTCATTAATATTGATTAATGATCATATGATTAATGATAATGACGGCGCTGCATACAGTGCGCTCCCACATTTTCTTCATTGTTGTTGGAAATGAGAAGATAAATTCAGTCGAGACGGAACTTGCACCATCAATCATTACATTAATCAATATCAGTTAATAGTTAAATTGAATAAGTTTATGGGACACTTCCATTGGAATAACATGTCGTAATCGACCAAAATGCAAGCAGCCAGCTGTTGGATCTAGATACGCGATAGCGTATCTGCCAAGTTGACGGCATAGGTAGAGAGCTGTCGTGTATTATATTTCACCTAACAACTCGCTCCTAACCCCTTAAATTAAACAAACTTCAATTGCTTTTATCCCCTTCAAACGCACGCTATTTTGCAAAAGTATTCTTGAAACATTATATAAATCGCGGTTGATCTTTCTGATGAGATTGTTACTTTTTACACTTATTACACTATTACAAAAATAACTCCATAGCAACGGATAAGAAATCACTTTTTCAAAAGTTTTGTTTCGAGAGCGTTACTATTCTCTAGCGCTGTTTGGGTGGGCTGTTCCAGAGATTATAGGGGAGATTGCTAACGCCAATGGCGAAGCTTCAACCGCGAAATTGTCTGGCCGCCCGAGCCGAACTAATTTTGCGGGTGTACCTGT